ATCACGCAACGATGACTCTTTTCAACAAATCATAAAGACATTGGTACCCTATATTTTATCTTCGGAGCATGAGCAGGCATAGTAGGGACTTCATTAAGACTGGTAATTCGTGCTGAATTAGGTCAACCAGGAAGCCTCATTGGTGACGATCAAATCTACAATGTAGTTGTAACCGCCCACGCTTTTGTTATAATTTTCTTCATAGTTATACCCATTATAATTGGAGGCTTTGGAAACTGACTTGTACCACTTATACTAGGAGCTCCAGATATAGCATTTCCCCGTATGAACAATATAAGATTTTGACTTCTTCCTTTTTCTTTAACATTATTATTAACAAGAGGAATAGTAGAAAGTGGAGTAGGAACTGGATGAACTGTCTACCCTCCACTCTCAGCAGCAATTGCTCACGCAGGTGCTTCCGTTGACTTAGGAATTTTCTCGCTTCATCTGGCTGGGGTCTCATCTATTTTGGGTGCAGTAAATTTTATGACAACTGCCATTAATATACGAAGAAAAGGTATAACAATAGACCGAATACCCTTATTTGTGTGATCAGTATTTATTACAGCAGTTCTTTTACTACTCTCGCTTCCTGTTTTAGCAGGAGCTATTACTATACTCTTAACAGATCGAAATTTAAATACTTCATTCTTCGATCCAGCTGGAGGTGGAGACCCAGTTCTTTACCAACATTTATTCTGGTTTTTTGGACATCCTGAAGTTTACATTCTTATTCTTCCTGCTTTTGGTATAATCTCCCACATTGTAACACAAGAATCCGGGAAAAAAGAAGCCTTTGGAACTCTAGGAATAATTTATGCTATGATAGCAATTGGAATTCTTGGCTTCGTTGTTTGAGCACACCACATATTTACTGTAGGAATGGATGTAGACACTCGAGCTTATTTTACTTCTGCAACAATAATTATTGCAGTTCCTACAGGAATTAAAATTTTTAGATGATTAGGCACCCTTCAAGGTACCCAAATCAATTACAGTCCATCACTTCTCTGAGCTCTTGGTTTTATTTTTCTCTTTACAGTTGGTGGTCTTACAGGAGTAGTTCTTGCTAATTCATCTATTGATATTATTCTTCATGACACATATTATGTTGTTGCTCACTTTCATTACGTTCTATCTATAGGTGCAGTTTTTGGCATCTTTGCAGGAATTGCTCACTGATTCCCTCTATTTACGGGCTTATCTATAAATCCTAAATGATCAAAAATTCACTTTTTAACTATATTTACAGGAGTAAATATCACTTTCTTCCCACAACATTTCTTAGGATTAAATGGAATACCACGACGATACTCTGACTATCCTGACGCATTCACCGCATGAAATGTTCTATCTTCAATTGGATCAATAATTTCTCTTGTAGCCGTTCTTAGATTCATCATTATTGTATGAGAGGCTTTAGTAGTTAAACGAACAGTTATATTTTCTTTATTCTTACCTACTTCGATTGAATGACAGCATGCTTATCCCCCAGCTGACCACAGTTATATAGAAATCCCTATAATCACTAACTACTAAAATGACAGATAGATGTGCAGGATTTAAGCTCCTGTTAGGGAAAATTATTTCCTTTTAGTAATGGCAACATGAGGTCACCTAGGATTCCAAGACAGTGCGTCACCCCTTATAGAGCAACTTATTTTCTTCCATGATCATACTATGGTAGTATTAATTTTAATTACTACTTTTGTTGGTTATATAATAGCCGCTATATTTCCTAATGCTTTTGTTAATCGTTTTCTCCTTGAAAACCAAACAATCGAAGTAATTTGAACAATTCTTCCTGCTATTATTCTCATTTTTATTGCTCTTCCTTCACTTCGGTTACTTTATCTTCTAGATGAAGTTAATAACCCTAGAATCACTCTTAAAACAATTGGACACCAATGATATTGAAGGTATGAATACTCAGACTTTCTGCAAGTAGAGTTTGACTCCTATATAACTCCATCTAACGAACTAGATTTATCTGGATTTCGACTTTTAGACGTAGACAACCGAACTGTCTTACCTATAAACACACAAGTTCGAATGTTAGTCACTGCAGCTGATGTTATTCATTCTTGAACTGTTCCAGCTCTGGGAGTAAAAGCAGATGCAATTCCGGGCCGTCTTAACCAAATTAGATTTATGGTTAACCGACCAGGATTGTTTTTTGGGCAATGCTCAGAAATTTGTGGAGCAAACCATAGATTTATACCAATTGTAGTAGAAAGTGTGTCAGTCTCAGCTTTTTTAAATTGAATCTCCTCCTCATCCGATCTATCACCCGATGACTGAAAGCAAGTATAGGTCTTTTAAACCTATCATAGTAGAGGCGCCTACTTCTGGTGGAAAAAGTTAGTTAATTAATAATATGAGCTTGTCAAGCTTAAGTAATTCCACTGGAATACTTTTTGATGCCTCAAATAGCACCTCTTTTATGATTAAATCTATTTTTTATATTTCTTATTGGATTTCTTTTATTTTTTATTCTAAACTATTTTATAAAATCTCCACTTAAAATGTCCCCTTCAATTGAACTAAAAGCTCAACACCAAAAAACCTGAAAATGATAACAAGATTATTTTCTATTTTTGAACCTTCTTCAAGAATCTTTTCATTATCAATCAATTGATTATCAACTTTTGTTGGGTTACTTTTTATTCCCTACCTTTATTGAGCAGCACCCTCACGTTGAGCATTAGTTTGATCCAAAATTATGCAACTTCTTCACAATGAATTTCAAGCAATTTTAGGACAAGCCACTAAAGGTTCAACTATTTTATTCATTTCTTTATTTAGATTTATTATATTCAATAACACTCTCGGGCTGCTCCCATATGTGTTTACTAGATCAAGACACCTTGCGATAACTCTTACGCTTGCTTTACCTTTATGGCTAACTTTTATTTTATTTGGTTGAATTAACCATACCCAACACATGCTTGCTCATATGGTTCCCCAAGGAACACCAGGGCTTCTGATACCATTTATAGTGTTAGTAGAAACTTTAAGAAATATTATTCGACCAGGAACTTTAGCCGTTCGACTAGCAGCTAACATAATTGCAGGACATCTTTTGTTGACACTTTTAGGCAATATAGGCCCTTCTTTGTCTTTGACTTTAGTGTCGTTTTTAATACTAGCTCAAATCCTTCTTTTAATACTAGAATCTGCTGTTGCAATAATTCAATCGTATGTATTTGCTGTTCTAAGGACTTTATATGCCAGAGAAGTTAACTAATGTCATCATCACACGGACACCACGCTTACCACTTAGTTGATATAAGACCCTGACCTTTAACAGGATCAGTAAGAGCCATAATACTAACCACAGGGCTTGTTAAATGATTCCACCAATTTAATATAGACTTGCTCCTGCTAAGATTTTTAGCTACTATTTTAACAATAATTCAATGATGACGAGATGTAACACGTGAAGGAACCTACCAGGGGCTCCACACCCAAGTTGTAATAAAAGGGCTTCGTTGGGGAATAATTCTTTTTATTGTATCAGAAGTATTGTTCTTTTTTTCATTTTTTTGGGCATTTTTCCATAGAAGACTTTCTCCAACAATTGAAATTGGAATATGTTGGCCACCAGTTGGTATCCAACCTTTTAATCCTTTCCAAATTCCGCTTTTAAATACAACTATTCTTTTGTCATCAGGAGCTACCGTAACATGAGCCCATCATGCTATTACAAGATCAAATCACTCAGAAGCAATTCAAAGTCTTGCTTTAACTATTTTTTTAGGATTATATTTTTCAGCTCTTCAAGCTTTCGAATATGCAGAAGCTTCTTTTACAATTGCAGATTCTGTTTATGGATCTACTTTTTTTGTAGCAACTGGTTTCCATGGGCTTCATGTTATTATTGGGACTTCCTTTTTAGCTGTTTGTTTCTACCGACTTTATAAATGTCATTTTTCTTCAGACCATCATTTTGGTTTTGAAGCAGCTGCTTGATACTGACACTTTGTAGATGTTGTTTGGTTATTTTTATATATCTTTATCTATTGATGAGGAGGTTAATTAATTTTTTAATATAACAAGTATATTTGGCTTCCAACCAAAAAGTCTAGAATTTCTAGAAAAATTAATTTTTATTATATTTATTGTAGTTTCAACAACTTTTGTAATTAGATCTGTAGTTATAATCCTTGCCTCGATTTTGTCAAAAAAACTTATTACAGATCGAGAAAAAAATTCCCCATTTGAGTGTGGATTTGATCCTAAAGGCTCAGCTCGACTTCCTTTTTCTTTACGATTCTTTTTAATTGCAGTTATTTTCTTGATTTTTGATGTAGAAATTACTCTTTTACTTCCCCTTGCCTCAATTATTCATTTAACAAACATATTTTCTTGAGCCCTTACTGGGGTTTTATTTTTATTAATTCTGCTTTTTGGACTTTACTATGAATGACACCAAGGCGCCTTAGAATGATCTTATTAGAGCTATATTCAATTTATGATTTATGAGTTGCATTCATAAGGTGTTTTTTATAAACTAGCTTTAAGATTAAAAAGCGAAGTATTGCACTTAGTTTCGGCCTAAGCTTTGATCTGTTATAGGTCTTTAATCTTTGAAAGAAGCCAAAATAGAGGCCCATCACTGTTAATGATGAAACTGGATTTTTTATCCCTTTCAAGGAAATATTTATGCCAAAAAAAGAAGCTTCTAACTTCATTTTAAGCGGTTGAATTCCGTTTATATTTCTTTTTTATAGTGTAAATAACACGCTACATTTTCGTTGTAGAACTGAAGTACTAACTTCTAAAAATTTTGATTAGTTACAAAAAAATTAGATTTTGGTTATGAAATTGTTACTTACAGGCAAATTTGCCACCGTTGCTGCTTCAAAGCAAAATTCTAATCTTAAATTATATAAGTAAATTATAATAAAAAATACAACAATTACTCAAAATAAAAACCTTTTTATATAAATTCTTACACTTCTATTTTGAGAAACTTGAAGGTACCCTGATTGATGTATAACATTAGAATACAAACCTTGACCCCCAAAATGTTCGGATCATCCATAGTCACCAACCTTCATACATGCGCCCGCAGTTTTTAACCTAACATGACTCAAATTAAATGTAGATAAAAAAGGTATAAACCACATAGACCCTATAAACACAACTTTACTATAACTTTTTAATCTACGTAACCTATAGTTTACACTTATAATATTTAAAAGATAACCAATTAAAGCTCCTAACACTCTTAATGCTAAAGCCAACACTTTAAACGTGAAAGTTAAACAAATTATATATGATTCAGGGAAAATCACTCAAGACAAAAAAGCTCCACCCGTGACACCACCAATCCTCAATCTTATCATTGATCTAGTTATAACAACACTTTTATCGTTAACTTGACTCATCCTTCTTAAATTAAATAGACCAGTCAAACTATAATAAACTAAACGAAATCTATAACAAACAGTTAATCCTGTAGCCAAAGCATATAAAACGAAAGCTAATAAATTAATATTTCTTATAAAAGCCACTTCTAAAATTAAATCTTTAGAATAAAATCCTGCCAAAAATGGTATTCCACATAAAGCTAAATTAGCCAAATTTATACAAGTTCTAGTTAAAGGTATTCTAAAAACTAATCTTCCTATACAACGGATATCTTGGTATTCTTTTACAGCATGAATAACTACTCCAGCACATATAAATAAGAGTGCCTTGAACAAAGCATGAGCTAATAAATGGAAAAAAGCTAAGTCAGCAAAACCAAGAGCTAAAATCCTTAGTATTACACCAAGTTGACTTAATGTTGATAAAGCAATAATCTTTTTTAAATCATACTCAAAATTAGCCCCTAATCCTGCTATAAATATTGTCAGACAAGAAATAATTAATAAAACAGATTGGGCTTCTGATCCTATTAAAGCTGGGCTAAAACGAATTAATAAATAAACACCTGCCGTAACTAGAGTAGAAGAATGAACTAGTGCAGACACTGGAGTAGGAGCTGCCATGGCAGCTGGAAGCCAAGCAGAAAAGGGGATTTGAGCCCTTTTTGTTATAGCTGCTATGACAACTAAACATTTTATTAATAACAAATTAGAATCCCTTATATATCTTCTGTATAAAATAAAATTTCAACCTCCTGCTATAAATATTAAAGAGATTCTAAGAAGAATAGCAACGTCACCAACTCGGTTAGACAAAACTGTTAGTATTCCTGCATTTGCAGATTTTTCATTTTGGTAAAAAATAACTAATGCGTATGATACTAAACCTAGCCCATCCCAACCTAATAAAATTCTAATTATATTTGGCCTTACAATTAAAGCACCTATAGACAATACAAAAGCAAGAACTAAATATATGAAGCGATTAAATCTTTTGTCTCCCTCTATATAATCACCTCTGTAGAATAACACTATTGAAGAAATAAAAAGTACAAATCCTAAAAATATAAAAGAAATTCAATCAAAAATTAAAGTCATTACGACTGAAGAAGAATTTAAAGTTATAATTTCCCATTCAATTATTGTCACACTGTTATAATATAAACTTGTAAGAGACAACAAAATACAACTAAAAGCCCTTCTGCATAAAAATACCAATCTAGTTAAATGTATAGTAATATATCAAATCACGGTTTAAAATAAATAACTTATAATTTCGGCACCACAAACCAACGTTTTTATTAAACTATTTAAACTAAAATCTTGGTAAAATTATAGCCGTTTTTACAATAAGAACATTTAAAGGCAATCAATGTAATATTAAAACTAAGTATTCAGAAACTTTTCCAGAACAACAAGAAAACAATGAATTAAAAAACAACCCATGCTGTCTTATCGAATATATGTATAAAGTGTACGCAGCTCTAAAAAAAGACAATAAACCAATCCCAAACATGCTAAGCTTTCTTCATCTTACTACACTTAAAATTAGTCTAATTTCTCCTAATAAATTAATTGTAGGAGGAGCTGCTATATTACCAATCCTCAATAAAAATCACCACAATCCCAAACTAGGTATAAAATTCAATAAACCTTTATTCACCAATAATCTTCGACTTCCTAAACGCTCGTAAACTATGTTAGCAAGACAAAAAAGTCCAGACGAGCATAATCCATGCCCCACCATAATTACTACAGCTCCAGTTTGACCCCATCAACCAAAAACTACTAGTCCTCTCAATACCAAGCCTATATGGGCTACTGAAGAATAAGCAATCAATGACTTAATATCTACTTGACGTAAACATATAAATCTTACAATTACCCCACCTAAAATTCTCACACTAACTCAAAATCAAGAAAATATTTTATTTACTTCAGGAAATAAAAAGAGAACACGAATCAAACCATAACCACCTAATTTTAATAAAACACCAGCCAAAATTATAGATCCAGCTACAGGAGCTTCAACATGAGCCTTTGGAAGTCATAAATGAACTAGATATATAGGAAGTTTTACTACAAAAGCAAAAATTGTACAAAAATACCACATAAAAGTAATAAAATTAGATCTTTCAGCGCATGGTACTAAACCTATTGTTAGACTACCACCCAATCTGTAAAATCTTAATAGAGAAACAAGCAAAGGCAAAGAGGCAAACAATGTATAAAATAACATATAAACTCCAGCCTGAATTCGCTCAGGTTGATAACCCCAGCCTAAAATTAAAATTAAAGTAGGAATTAAAGATCTTTCAAATCTAATATAAAACAAAAGATAATCTGTTGCTGAAAACGTTAAAAGCAATGCTAACAGCAATAGTAAATTTACAACTAAAAACCCTCTAGGAGAATTATTTGTTTTTTTAATTCTTTGACTTGCACAAATAACTAGTGCCATAATTCATATTCTTAATATAATTAAAATAAAACCTAAATGATCAGAACCTAATCTTAATCCCAACCCCGAAACAGAAAAGTCATGTCCCATAAAACACCTAAAAATAAAACACATTAAAAATAAAGAAATTTGAATAAACCACCACTCTTTAACAAACGCAATCAATAAAATATTTATAAAAATGAACTTTAACATTGTAGTGTTCTAAAACTTCTGAAACAATCGTTACCATGAGTCCGCACAATAGAAATCAATAAAGAAAGACCCAAAGCACCCTCACAAGCTGCTATAGTTAAAAAAAATAAAGTAAAATAAGCTTCGATTCCTACTTTAGCTAAACAAATTACTATGACTCAAAAAATGCCTAATATAATAAATTCTAAACTTAGAAGGACTCTAAGTAAATGTTTTCGGTTAGAAACAAAATTTCATAACCCACAAAAAACAACGATAAGAGGAACAAAAATAAATATTAATCTAAGAATTGACATTAGTTTTAATAGTTTAAACCAAAACTTTGGTCTTGTAAACCAAAAATGAAATTTATTTTCTTAAAACTTCAGAGAAAAAAGTAAACTTTTATCTTTAATTCCCAAAACTAATATTTTATTAAACTACTCTCTGAAATCTTATTTTTTATTCTTCCTCTTATTTTTGTAACTTCATTACTTTTTACACGTCTTATTCATCCTTTATCTATATGTCTCACATTATTAATACAAACTGTTATGATTTCGCTTGCGGCAGGGTTGAACAACAATTCTTTTTGATTTTCATACATTCTTTTTCTTATTTTCTTAGGGGCTATACTAGTGTTATTTATTTATGTTGCCTCACTTGCTTCTAACGAACCATTCAAATTTTCAGCTACAGCTCTAATAGTTATTTCAAGATTTTCTTTATTTTTGACAATTTTTATAATACTAAAAGACCCTCTTTATATTACTCCTGATATTTCTATTATTAGATCAGCGATTTCTTCAGATATGTTTTCACTTGATACTACTTCTACTCTAGTAAGAACTATTTATAGACCTCCAGCAATATCTTTTACTTTATTTATAGTTCTTTACCTCCTATTGACTCTTATCGTTATTGTAAAAATTGTTAATCTTTATTCAAGACCACTTCGACTATCCTATTAATGACGACACCTATTCGCAAAAGCCATCCCCTTTTTAAAATTGCTAACGGAGCTTTAGTAGATATACCTATTCCAAGAAATATTTCAACATTCTGAAATTTTGGATCTTTACTAGGCTTATGTTTAGTTGTCCAAATTGTTACTGGTCTTTTTCTTGCTATACACTATACTGCTCATATTGATTTAGCTTTCTCAAGTGTTGCTCATATTTGTCGAGATGTAAATTACGGGTGACTTCTTCGTACACTCCATGCTAATGGAGCTTCCTTTTTCTTTATTTGCCTTTACTTACATATTGGACGTGGTATGTATTATGGATCCTACTTATTTTTTCATGCTTGAATAGTGGGTGTTGTTATTTTATTCATAGTTATAGCAACAGCTTTTCTAGGTTATGTTTTACCTTGGGGTCAAATATCTTTCTGGGGTGCAACAGTTATTACTAACCTTTTTTCTGCTATCCCTTATATTGGCACTGAACTTGTACAATGAATTTGAGGTGGATTTGCAGTTGATAATGCAACACTAACTCGATTTTTTACAATTCATTTTTTGTTACCATTTTTAGTAGCAGCAGCGACTCTTATCCATATTTTATTTATTCATCAAACTGGAGCTAACAACCCACTTGGAATTGCAAGACATATTGATAAAGTTCCATTCCATCCTTATTTCACTTTTAAAGATGTTGTTGGATTTATAGTTATACTAACCGCATTAATTTTATTGACTCTTCTAAATCCCTACCTTCTTGGAGACCCTGACAACTTTGTCCCGGCTAATCCACTCGTTACACCAGCACATATTCAACCTGAATGATACTTTTTATTTGCATATGCTATCTTGCGATCAATTCCAAACAAATTAGGAGGAGTAATCGCCCTGGCTATATCAATCGCAATTTTAATAATTTTACCTTTTACCCATACTTCTAAATTTCGAAGATTAACTTTTTATCCTTTAAATCAAATTTTATTTTGATCTTTAATTGCAATTGTTATTCTTCTAACCTGAATTGGAGCTCGACCTGTTGAGGATCCTTTTGTTATTACAGGGCAAATTCTAACAGTAGTGTATTTCCTTTACTACATTGTCAATCCTCTTTCACTTTTATTGTGAGATAAACTGCTTGATTGATAGTTTAGTTTATTTAAAACAGATGTTTTGAAAACATCAATAAGGACACTAAAACGTCTTAACTATCATGACATTTTCAATATACTAAATTAGTTATAAACTAAATTATAGAACAATAACATAGTATTTTTATACCCATGAAAAAAATTAAATAATTAAGAGAAACTGGTAAAAATCTTTTTCAAGCTAACCCTATTAATTTATCGTAACGAAGACGAGGAAGAGTTCCTCGAACTCAAATAAATGCAAATCTTACTCCTACCAGCTTTGCATAAAAAAGGGGGCTAGAAGGACCTCCACCTAAAAATAATAATGCAAACAGCGCTCTTATAAACAAAATTCTAGCATACTCAGCCATAAAAATTAAAGCAAAACCACCTCTTCTGTACTCGGTATTAAACCCAGACACTAACTCAGATTCGCCTTCCGCAAAATCGAAAGGAGTTCGGTTTGTCTCAGCTAAACAAGAAGCAAACCAAATTAAAGCTAACGGCAACGTGACCCACAAAAATCATACACTTTCTTGGTATAAATTAAAAAGTTCTAAACTAAAACCTCCCACTAAAAAAATAAAAGAAAGCAAAATTAAAGCAAGACTAACTTCATAAGAAATAGTCTGAGCAACAGCCCGAAGCCTACCTAACAAAGAATATTTACAATTAGAAGCCCAACCAGCTCTTATAGTTGAATAAACACCTAATCCTAAACAACACAAGAAAAAAAGTACTCCTATATTTAAATTTATTATTCCAATTTCATAAGGAATTACTAACCATACAATTAATGCAGTAAACAAACTAAAAACAGGTGAAGCATAATATGGAAGAAAATTAGATTTTACAGGTACTGTCTGCTCTTTAGTAAATAACTTCACAGCATCCGCAAAGGGTTGTAGCAATCCAATAAAACCAACTTTATTTGGTCCTTTACGAATTTGAATATATCCTAAAATTTTACGTTCTAACAAAGTAACAAATGCAACACCCACAAGAACACAAATAATTAAAATTAAATAACTCACAAATATAACTAAAGCCATCACAAACAGTTTTATTCAAACATGTTTGAATAAACGTTTATTACTTATAGAAAACTCTATCTAATTAGATCCTAAGTCTAACGCATCACATCTGCCAAAGTAATATAGTTAATCTATACTTAAAAATTATTTTAATTACTAAATCCTTTCGTACTAAAGTAATTTTTATTTTCTTAAAAGATAGAAACCAACCTGGCTCACGCCGGTTTGAACTCAAATCATGTAAAAATTTAAAGGTCGAACAGACCTACCTCCACAACTCCTACGCCATGGCGAATTTTTAATTCAACATCGAGGTCGCAAACTTTTTTGTCGATATGAACTCTCAAAATAAATAACGCTGTTATCCCTAAAGTAACTTAAATTTTTAATCAACAACAAGGATCATTACACACAAATATCTCTGTATTTTAAATTTAAACAGTTACAAATTATATCATCGTCGCCCCAACGAAATAATTTAGTATATAAATAATATTAAACTTTCAACTCATCTAATTATATACTAAATTATTAAGCTTTATAGGGTCTTATCGTCCCTTTAAAATATTTAAGCCTTTTCACTTAAAAGTCAAATTCAATTTTTGTGTTTGAGACAGTTTGCTTCTTGTCCAACCATTCATACAAGCCTCCAATTAAGAGACTAATGACTATGCTACCTTCGCACGGTTAAAATACCGCGGCCCTTTAGTTTGATCCCAGTGGGCAGGTTAGACTTTATAAACCATCATATAGACATGTTTTTGATAAACAGGCAGAAGCTTTATTTGCCGAGTTCCTTAACCCACACCAATCAATATTTAAAATTTGTTAATTTTTTAATATTTTACTATTTACAAAATTTTCTACTAATAAAATCATTTTATCTATAAATACAAAGATTATCAACATTTTTAGATACAAATACAAGAAGAATATAAATAACTTTAACTCAAAAATTAGTTAAAACACTTTATTCATATGGCTACTTCTAAGCCTAATTCAACTATTAAATAAATTTCTTCTATACTTTTTTATATTTTGAATAAGAAGCTCAACCCTCCTATTCTTACATTTAACTTTCTTTAAATATTAAAACTGAATTAAATTCATTTCTCTAAAAACCAGATATCAAAGGAATCGTTTAACATTTCACCACTAAATTAATATTAAAGATATTTATGCCACAATAACCTTTTTATCAATTTAGCTCTTCCTTTTTCGGGATCAAAAAACTACTTTTAAAATTTTAATTTTCCCTGATACACAAGGTACAAAAATTTACTTTTGCTTTCTTATTATTAAATTTTCATTTATTTCACTATTCTTTTACAATACTTTTAACTCTAGCCTTCATCTCAGTTTTCGATTCAAAATTTTAGATTTCTACTTACTTTTTTTATATAAAAATATTTTTCTCATTTATATTTTAACACTAAATAACAATAGCAAAGATTTATAATACTCAAAATATAATCGATTTGCACGATAAACCTTCTCAACGTAAGTGAGATGCTAAACTATAAAGCTTTATTTCGATTATTTCTAGGGACACTTTCCAGTACACCTACTATGTTACGACTTATTTCATTTTAAATGAAAGTGACGGGCGATATGTACATAATTTAGAGCTTATACCAAAAAGGCTTATTAAACTTTTTTTACAATTACATCCACCTTCTTTAAAAATAGTTCTATTTTCAATCCGTTATAAATAAATATTATTGTAACTCATTTCTACTTATCTATCAGCTGCACCTTGATCTAATATATTTAATTTTTTAATCCCAATAATTAACTTTTTCAAGATTATTTAATAATGACGGTATACAAACTGTAAAATTTACCAAGATAAGTAAGATTCTGCGTGTTTTATCGTTTATAGAACAAGTTCCTCTAACAAGACTAAAATACCGCCAAATTCTTTGATTTTAAAGAATATAACTATTAATATTCAAGCATTTAAATTTTACTCCCAGATGTAATAGGGTATCTAATCCTAGTTCATACCCTGGCATCTACAGTTTCATCTTTATTATATACTAGTTTAATTTACTAATTAACAATCTAATTTTACCTTTTATTAAAATAAACTAAACTAACTTATAAATTTTTAATTAACTGTTAACTAAATTACTTTTACTTAATCTTAAAGTGTAACCGCGACTGCTGGCACAAAACTTAGTCAGACTTTTTATAACTACCAAATCAGGCTACCGCCCATAATTTAATATTTTATACTGTGATTTTAATTTTCTTACCACGATTTCTACTTTTTAATTAAACTTATTTTTAATAAATTTACTTGCTTCTTTTTCCACACAATTATTTACATGTATTTACCAGTTATAACGTAAAAGTATTAAGCAAGAATCAAACTTCCATGAGTGTACAAATAATATTTTTTTAATTTTTGACGATTAAATAAACATACTAAAATTAAAGAAATTTATTATCAACATTGAAATTAACAATATAAATATAATTACAAATATAAATAATTAAACAAATTATATCAGTCATTTATTACCAAAAAAAATTTGTCCCACGCCAAAGTCAACCCAAAAAATTATGAAGGTAAAATACCATTTGATACAACTTTAAAAGAAACTCCGACAAAATTGAAAATTGTTATGAAGTTTGTTAGAAATGCTAACTAACTCCCTAACAACAAAATGAAGTTCTGAGTTAGTTAGCACTCTCCACTAACTTCCTAACCTTAAACAAAATATTTGAATTATAGTAATTTATCTACATATTTTAAACCTAAAAATTAAATTTTTAAAAGTACTGGTCTGCTTCAAAACGCATCAATATACTAAAAACAGAAATTTTAATTATGATTTTTTTTTTTAAATTAAAATATAAGTATTTTAAAATATGAAACCGCATATGGGTCGTTACCATGCGCCCGCAACTTCAATTTTTTTTTAAAAAAATGAGAATTTGCCTTCATTATAAATAATCTTATTAAACCTACCATATTTAAATAAAAATTTTTGCCAAAATCTAACCAACTATGCAGCTAAAATCATTCTTAATTTTGTATCATTATAATTCTCAACAAAGATACAAGTTAGGGAGCTAGTTAAGAATGTCCACTAGCTCCCTAACTTATATTTTTTGCTATCAACAGTAGAATAAACTTACCATACAAAAAAATAGTTAGGGAGCCCGTTGGGAAAATCAAGATTCTCATGAAACTTAGGAAAATCTTTTCTAATCATATATTCAAGACCCTATATGGGTCGCTCCCATGCGCCCGCAACTTCAATTTTGTGAGAAATTTAACACAAACCTCATTTTTTTGCTCGAAAATAAAAGTTCTGGTCTTAAAGTTGAATAGAAGATTTCCCATACGGAAGTAAAACTTTGTACCTTCTTAAAATTGCACTATTTTTCTAATTATATATACATTTAAATATATGTAAGGAGAGAGCTCGTAACCTAGTCTTTCAACTAAAATTATACACAAGAGAGCAAAAATATATTTTTAAGGCGAATCTAAAATGTAAACTTATATAATTTCATTGAAATGCCTCGTCAACTGAAAAGTCGATAATTTAGCTGTATAAATCAACTAAATAAGATCCATAATGAAATCTAAGCCCTTTAAAATGGTCCCTTCTTCCTGAGGGGAGGTCCCATTTCCCAACGGGCTTAGATTTCTATTGGGAGAGGGAATTTTATAATTACAGAAGGCTGTGTATAAATCACAATTGTCCCAAATATATAATATTAAATTAATTATATACATTTATATGTATATATAATATATATATATACTACTATAAATTATATTTTCTTAATTTTCTGTTTTTTTATTTTTTATTTTACTAATAATATTTCTATTAACTTCATTTTATTAAAATATGATGCCTGAAAAAGGGCTGTCTTGATAGGACAGATTATGTAATTTTTTTACTCATGTTATCTATATACAATGGAATTCCACCAATTCTTTAAAGATCAAAACTTTTCGTGCCGTTTACACCAGTATACAAAAGATAAGCTAATTCTAAGCTAATGGGTTCATACCCCGTTTATGAGAGCATAAACCTCTCTCTTTTTAATGCTAATTTCTCCGTCTCAATTAATATTTATTTTGACCCTTATTTCAGGAACAATTTTATCTATTTCTTCTACTTCATGATTTGGGGCATGAGCAGGCTTAGAATTAAATCTTTTATCTTTTATCCCTTTAATTATTACAAAAAATAATCAATATTCTTCTGAGTCTGCACTTAAATACTTTCTTGTCCAAGCTTTAGGATCTGCTATTATTATTTTTTCAGCCTCAATTATATTAATTTCCCCCAGTTTTGCACCGCTTTGTCTAGCCCTTGCTCTTCTTCTCAAACTAGGAGCAGCTCCATTTCATTTTTGGTTCCCTCAAGTTATAGAAGGAATAAATTGAATCCAATCTATTGTGCTCATAACCATTCAAAAAATTGCTCCTATACTTCTGCTCTCATACCTTACTTTTAACTATTTAGTCACAACTATTTTGTTTTATGCAATTATTCTTTCAGCAATCATTGGAGCAGTTGGTGGTATTAATCAAACTTTACTTCGAAAAATTATAGCTTTTTCTTCTATTAACCACATAGCATGAATACTTTCTGCTATTTTAATTAGTGAAAATATATGAACAATATATTTTCTTTTTTACTCTTTAATATCTTCTTCAGTAGCATTAATCTTTCACTTCCAGCAGATTTTTCATTTTTCCCAAATTACTTCCAATAATGCTTCCCCATTACCTAATAAAATTCTTATACTTTTATCTTTGCTTTCTCTAGGAGGTCTACCTCCTTTCACTGGTTTTTTCCCTAAATGAATTTTAATTCAAGAAATAACTTCTAGTTATTTCTTCATACCCTTATTAGTTCTTCTGGCATCTACTTTGATTTCCCTATATTACTATTTGCGAATCTCAATTTCGGCATTTGTTCTTTTTTCACCAAAATTGAAATGATCCTCTCCACATCGAAGACAAAGACTTTTCACCCCTTTAATGGCATTTATCAATCTTTTTGGACTTTTTATCCCATCAGTTTTTATTATATTCTAAGATTTTAAGTTATTTAAACTAACATCCTTCAAAGTTGTCAAAAAAAGAAAATCTTTTAAATCTTAAAATACTTTCATTTTTATATCTTTTTAAGCTCCAGTGATATACACATCTTTAGATTTGCAATCTAACGTCTTAATAATTTCCACTATGCAGCCTAATAAGAAAGTTTAAACTTGTTTATAGATTTACAATCTATCGCCTATTCCTCAGCCACCTT